TGGGTTTCGATGCTCGCTTGCTGGGTCCTGCCGGAGAGGTTTGTTGCTCGTGTTTCAGCCGCAGGAGAAACGTTTCCTTTGCATTTGGACCGCATGGGTCTGAGCAACCTCCCCACGTGCCCTTTTCCCCCTGTATGCTTCAGTAACTTATTTAACAGTGTATATGCTGTAAGAAAGAAAAAAAAACCACTATGTTTTAAAACTAGTGCAGGATCAGAGCCAGGCTTTACCTAGAAACATTTGTCAGCGTGTAGCCTGCAGGTGTCTTTACCAGTTTGCAGCAGGACAGGGTGCGACTTATCCTTTGGGTTTGGCCCCGCAGGTAGCTGTGCACTGGAGTAACCACCTGACAGTAGTGTGGGAACTGCCCGTCCTTTCCGAGAGCAGAGCTTTTGCTGGGGATGGAAGCAGTGGGGGGCGGTTTGCTGCATGTAATATGCTTACCCTGGAAACCCAACCTAGATGGTGCTCTTTAATCTTATAAAAATGGTTGTTGTGTGTAACCACATATTCCTGTTTCAGAAGACAGTTCTTTCCGTATCAGACTGACTGCTCTCACTGCATAATCCTGGGTTTGTGTTGACTGAGAGGGAAGAATGCAACCTACTGATTTATGTAATACTTCCTAAATGCTTGGGTTTTTTTAGTGAGGGGAACCATTCAAGGGGTGAATGATCCTGACTGGTGTCTGAAGAGGTGATATGCTGTGTTAGATGTTATAGCTGTGCTACTGTCAGGCAACTGACTACTTCAGAAAAAATTATCACACTGAATTCCATCCTTAAATCAAGAACTTAATAAGATACACATATGGCTTTTCTGTAAAATCCTACAAAATAATTTTTGAATTATACACTTTTCATATAGATATGTCAGCTTTAAGCACTGGATTTTTTAAACTTTTCCTCATATACTGTGTATCACTATGATTATAACTATATTCATCAAATTACATTTGATTTCTTTTATATCTTAAGAAAATTTAGCACTCAGTTACACAGAGCTGCAGCTAAGATCTTAAATCTTGCACTCAATATTCACACTCAATTTTTGTGAGTCTTTCCATTGACTTAACTGGGATTTCTCATGAGCAAACTAATGCACACTGTAGTGCTTGTGAGCTGGGACCCAGCTATAATAGTAAACGATATTTTAGCCCAGGGAAACTAGGGAAATGCTAATAAGATCTAAATACTCTCCCATGACTTAAAACTATCTCTGTGGGAGGGTAAAACACTAAGCACTGCTATTTAATTATAATCTGGACATCATTAACAAGCTTCTTTATATAGTGTATTTATTGTGAGATCATGTTTTCATTATGAGCAAGGAGTAATTGGAATGGAGTGGTTTTAATCCCCAAATTATTGTTTGACACTGATGCTGGTACTGGGGTCAGTGTGAGTTTGCAAATGAGTTTCAAAACTACCGTATTTTATTTTTTTTAGGAAAAAAAAAGCGCCTTTCTGTTTGCAATTAACAGTCAGTTATGGTTTGTGACTGTACTTCACAGAGACAAAACTAAGCAGTCCACATATGTATTACATGTCATACAATATATGCTTTCATATAAATACCAACTTTTCATGGCAAAAATGAAGTTTCTCAGTTTTCCCATGCTACTTTTCAGAGAGCTTTGTGGAAACTCTGACCTCTAGATCAGATCCAGAATGAGAAAGCACAAATGAGTCTTCCCCAAAAGAACAAGATAATGAAAAGGTCTATTGTCCAAGTGGCAACTGAAGAAAATCATAACATGGAGATTGATGCTGTCATAAAATAAGAATTCCCACTACTAAAGCTTGCTGTCTGACCACTGGAAAGTATGCAGAGTAAGCCATACTATGACTGCACTGTTCTACAGCATCACCATTACCTTTTATAGGGCGAGTTTCTGAAATTACTGAAATGGTTGTTCAGTTTTGAGCAGTCATTGGACCTGATGACCTACAGAGGTCCTTTCTGACCTAAATTATTCTATTATTCTAGGATATAGTAGCTATTAGTTTTACAGCAGTGATATGAGGAAGTCTATATGTGATTTAGATGAATGACTTAAAGAACATTAAGGGATCTATTAGTGATTTTTATTTCATTAGAGGTGTAGAAGATTATATTATACATGTAGTACATAGACTCTAAGTCCTTTAGATAAGAGTCTATTTTGTATAAGTCCTACCATGATATTTACACTTCACAATAAATTTTAATGCTGATCTTTGCTCTTTCTGATGTACTGTGTGTTTTGATGTGTATACTCATCAAGATGTGTGTGCTTATCTGACCTCTGTGCTTGCATAGGCGTGCTGTTCTTCCCTCATCCCCAGTGCTCTTCTGATGGCTTCCAGAATGTGGTTTTCCTCCCGAATCCTGTAGCACCTCCAGCTACACTCATGTACAGTGTTGAGTTTGTGGGATTATTTGGCTGACTACCAAATGTCATTCACCTCCTTTCTAGGAACTGCTCTATAATGCACTTTGGGTCTTCCCCTTACTGTTTCGAAATCTAAGTTAATTTAGTCTACTGTCACATTTGATTTTATTAGTCCAGGATACAGCTCAGCTGTGGGCATTTGTAGCAGAATAATTGGGTACTGATGGCATTTCATCTCAGCCCAGTTGCTATACAAGGCAGAGGCATCTCTCAGTACAGAGAGCACTGGAATATCCTTTTAGCTGCCAAGGTAGGGGTATGTGCTGGATGAGGAGAACCACATGAAAGCATAGGAGACAAAGCTGGAAGACTTTGTGAATCTGTGGTTGTCATCCTGTCCCCATCCCAATGCAGACATGTCTGGAACAGGGAATTTGCCATCACATGCTAGGATCATGACCTTTTGCAGACACAAAACAACAACATGTGGCTGTAAAACTTCCTGTCAGGAAGCAGACCTTCATGGACCCATGCAAAGAATTTGTCCCAGTCTTCTTGTGCTGGAGTACACAACTTCTGGTCCTAAACCCACTGCAGATTTGGGTTACTCTTACTCTCTGGACACTTTTTATTTTAGATTGATAAAGGACTGATGTTGCTAGGTTAACAGTTCACTTGGTTATTGTGGTAGCTTGCTGTGCTACTATGAAAGCTGTATGCACTTGGGTTGTCTGTCTCAGAATACACTTGAATTGCTGGTTGACTTCTAGCTAATGAGTTTCTCAGGTTTGTACTGCTGACAGCATGAATGGCCAAAGTTAGCATCTTACAAGGAGCTAAAGAATGTGTTAACAAGGGATTTCCGCTCTGCTGCTTTGCAGGACTCGGTGCAGTGGTGGGTAGGTTCATGTGCACATAGTGCCTGCCAGCAGGATTGAGGAGCAGATGGGGAATTTACAAACTTGGAGCACCTGCAACTTGGTTTCGTCTTCATGATTTAACTGTATTGGTGATATGCAGCTGACAGCTGTGATTTAGGGGAGTTTTACCTGTCCTGTGCTGCTGAGCCCTACTTGTGTACCAAGGAGTTGCAGAAAATCCAGTGCATCATTTGATGGAAGAGGATGACAGTAGAGTCCTACCTTGTAAAGATGAAGGCAAGGTGTTGCTTCTTGCTTATGTGCTACATATCATCCTCCTGATATGGCCACCTACCCCCACAGAACACCTGCATAGCTGAGGACAGATACTTTCTGGTGTTGGACTTTGTGGGGCTCTATAGCTAATTTTCAGAACTAGAAAATGCCTGTGTCAGCAACTGGTCCAGAAAGACGAAGGAAATTATTGATACTCAATATCCTGACACCCATGCCACACGCAGTGATTTTAATGAGTAATGGACTAGTAATGCATGTGCTGGCTTGTGGATAGTTAAGTACCTTGAAATATGTTGTAACTGATTGTTAACAGGGCTTTACAGTGCCTGCAGTCCTTAATGTTTTTAGTTTCTGAGGTAATGGGATTAAGAATGAGATATTTTGTGACTTTCGTGTAAGAAGAGCTCACTGGTTTTCCAAGTAACTCACTGTGCTTCCTAACCTGGGGACACAGGCTCTGATTTTAGTGTCTTACATAGATCGCCTGCAGTTCCTTTAACTTCAGTAAAAGCTTTTGATGTGATTGCAGTTTTCTGTTACCTTAAAAATGGGTAGATAATAAGGAATGCTGAAAGAACTTCAGAATGTTTTCCCTTTTACATGTTTATGTTCTGTATAACCTAAAAACACTGAAGTTATATCTGCTGGCAGCTTAATGAAAGTAAATGGCTGTCTCTTAGCTATCAAACAAGGAAAGCTGAAGGCAGCCGCTGTAGTGGTAATAACTGCTGCCCCTGGTGCTTCTTTTGTCTTCTCTTTCCTTCCTATCTATGATGAGAAATTGTACAGAGTTCAAGAGAGGGGATGTTATCTGCGATTACTAAAGGTATTAATGTTCCAGGTAAGTGCTGAGATTTTTCCCTTCTGGGCATTGTGCCAGTTTTGGTGGCAGCTGGAGAAGGTGGAGAGATTGGGGTTTCTGTGGTTCATGTTTCTGATTTAGCCTTGGAAGAGAACTTGTGCTGCAAGATGAGGAAGGAGACCACTCAGAGAAGCAGGAGGCATGAGCTAAAACAAATTACTACCCTGGTTTTTCAATTTATTTTCCAGCATGAACTGCCTAGCAAATACAGGTACATTTTTAAGGTACTCAAATGAAAAAAAAAAATGGCCTTTCAGACCAGTGGAAAAGTTTCTCAATTCTGTGTGAAAGAAATTTCTCTAAAGTGGAGTAAGAGATGGAAGGACACTGACTTCTGCATGAGCCACAGAGCATCTCTTCTCCGTTGACATTATTTAAGTTATCACAGTGAAGAGGACAAATCTTAATACAATGCACCATGCCATGGAGAAGGTCATTGATTTATCACCACTGACGTTGAATATACAGTAGTGTCTCTGTCCAAAACATCAATCTCTTATGAGGAGACTTCCATTGAAAGATATTTGAAAGGGTAGAAATGGACTTGGGTCCAACAAAGGAAATAGGTATTTTAAAGATGAAGCTGCAATTTCATTTTTCAGTGTTCTTACACTGTAGTTCATGAAAATCCGTAACAGTGCATCAGAAAAATTATTCTGTTGCATAAGTATATGGCTAACCAAACACAGGTAAAATTGATAAGAAAACACCATGGAAAAAGTTAGCTTTTGACTAGCAGCCAGTTAGAGGGCAAAGGAAGCCTGAAAAGAACAAGAGAGCCTGTCTATTTACTTGCCATCTTCTAGGAAAATCTCCTCCTTAGTACCAAACTTCTTCAAGACAGCTGCAGATACTGCAAGCAGCCCTCACTCTGTTGAGCCTCATGGATTGCCACACCTTGGTAACTTTTGCTTTTGAGCTGTTTGGGATGTTTCTCATACAGTGACTTTGTCTTGGGTCTGCAGCAGGAGTTCGCTCCCAGTGGTATAATGTTGAATACTCCTGCTACAACAGCTGGAATCAAAGTGCTTGAAATGTTTTCCAAGTAGCCACAAAAATACGTGTTTGTAAGTTGGGTACTTTGGGAACATGTTCTCAGCTGGTAGAGCAAAGGTTAGCCAGCAGTGGGAGGTTGCAAGGGGCTATGCCAGCAGCCCGGCTTTGCCTGCTGGGAGAATGAGGTGTTAAATACCAAATGTGGTGCAACAAACACCATCCAGCTGCTGGAGTGAAGACAGGGGACTTCACAGAAGAACCAGAAAATAAGCAGAGAACTGTGAGAGGACTTTATGTGGGGAAGCCATGCAACCATGATACAAACTGGTCGTGTAAAAATGCAAGCAGCAGTGGACACAAATGTGTACCTGGAACTAGAGCTAAACACACAAGTCCAGACTGTCATCACCTCAGGAGAGCAGCACAGAAGCTTTCAGTGTGGATGAAAGGAGGGCATCAGGCTTGGATCGGAGGCATCTGTTATCACATACACAGCCTTTGGCTTTGGGAACTCTGTTGTTTTTTTTTCTCGTTGAAAATAGATGCAATTTCACTTTAGTTTTTATTTTAGATTATCTTATATATCAGAACTTGTAAGATGAGGGAACTAAAGCTCTCCTCTGTTAAGCATTGCTATCTCCTGAAACAATATTTTAAGATACTCTTTGTGAGGGTAGTAGTGTGTTGATAATAGCTTAGTTGGGTTTTTTTTATAATGAGAATTGGATCATTTTTGGTGGAACTGTAAATAAGCTTGTTTTCTGGTTACCAGACTGGCAAAGATACTGAGATCTAAGGATATAAGGTTTCTGAATAAAAAATGAATACTATTGAGCAACAGAAATTATGTTCAGTTTGAATAAAAAGATCTACAGAAAACTAGGCACTGCTAGTCAGTGCTTTTGTTTCTTTAGTACCCTACCCTTACTTTTCAAAGGGACTGGTAAAATCAGTCAAAATTGAAAATTTACTGCTTAATATGTTTCAGAATTCAGTGATGGCTAATGAATGATTATGTAGGCATTTCAGTTTATATGGTCAGCTAATCATACAATATTTGCATGCTATATAAACATTTTCCTAACAGAATTCAAAGACTTAAAATCACAGTAATACTTTTCTTATTTCTGAAGTTGCTTGGGGACAGTTGAGAGCCCAGTGAATTTGAAATTGCAACCAAATATCAAAAATTACTACAAAGGTATAAAATATGTGAAGTACCAGAATGTAAGAGTCTTTAGTTTGGGGTACTTTGCAGAGCTGGTCTTCATCCCAGTTTCCTTTGGCATCGTGCTGCTACTGGATGGTTCAGCAATATGGTGGGAAGGTGCTCTGCACAGCATCCTTGGTTCTTCCTTAACGTGCCATCAGGAAGAGGTGAAATGGCTTCACTTGGAGATTAGACCAATCATTGCAGCTGTTTAGGATGGTTAGGAAGGAGAGATAAGTTAGGCCATGGATAAGTAGGTAACAGCCAGATAGCCCTGTTGAATAAACTGTTTGTGCCTGGTTCCTGTGACAGCCTTGTAAGGGGCATATTTCTCTACGCTCTTTAAGTCTCTGACCATGGCTTCTGTGTTTCTAAAACCTTGGTGCTAGAACTGGCATATGTACTTGAGGTCCATTTTTGAGTGCAAAGAGGCAGTTCATTTTGTTTTCTGGCATATACACCAGAACATTGTGTTCCCATTTGGGAATGATGAGTAGGATACAAAAAAATGGAAAAACAGATTGACAGACAGGAAAATAGATCGATATGTAATGGTTATGTGGGACAAACTGAAGAATAACGCATAAAATCTCTTTATTAGAGAGGAAATATTTACTCAGGATTTTATATTCTGCCTCATGGTGGGAAAGAAAGCAATTATCTTTCTGAACTGGGTTATTCAGTTGTCTTCTGTGCAGATCTGTGGCTTTATCTGCTTATCAAGACCCTGTTAAAATTGTTTCCAACATCTAAGTTACTTAACCAAGAGTTACTGTTAAAATTTGCACTGCTTTTAATGTTTCCACTCAGTTGCAGGTGGAACAGTTTCTTGTGAAAGGGGGTTTCCTTGCACACCTAGAGGAGCTCTTGACTAAGCTTCACCAATCATATCACTGATTCCAAGGCTGAATCTGTCTGCTGTGAGATGCTCACTTCACAACCCACAGTAAAGTTTTGGGGGAAGACAGACAAAACCACCATCTTGAGGAAGTCTATCAGCAGGAGACACGGCCAGAAGATGAGCCTTTAGCATGTCAGTCGTAGCTTTTTGTTTGTGGGCAGTCAGTCATGGCTTTTGATGGCACCTTAACAAACTCCTGGGCAGGAATAATCTCTTAGTGTAGGACTCTTGCCTGTTAATTTGTTCTGTACAACAAAACTACTTCATAGCCTATGGGAAGCTCATTGCCAGTCCTTAGAAGTCTCCTTGAGTAAACAAGATTAATTCTGCATTATTATCTTCATGCTAGCAACCACAGACAGTCCTCTGAAAAGGAGGCATGAGCTGTTGCCAGTTCTCATTTATAGTTGCTGTTTCTGGAATATGTTCCATTCTCTTGTTTTAATTCTCTGAGATTTTCTGAAGCAAGTATCCCTCAGACTACAGAAATGATTAAACTGAAAAAAATGCAATGGAGTGCTTGCTGAGTATAATGAAAATATATTTGTGTCGTTCTTGAACCTGTTTATGCTGAGAGGCTGACTGCAACAAAGTTCCTTTCCTTGGTTTAAAAATACTTAATTATTGTGAACGATTGTAAAAGTAAATACATTTTAAACGTTACCTACAAGCTCCAACTAACACTATTTATAAATCCTATGCAGGGTCTCCTAACTGCTACTTCATTGTGTAGATACTCTTTCTTGAAGGTGTAGGTATTATTCCATGCCAGTATATCTGCACGTTTGTATGTGATGGGATTTTTGTGTAATCAAAGAGCTCATCTCCTTCTCCCCTCTATTGCAGTTTCACATCTTTGTATGTCCTTCTGTTTCTTGAAGATGAAGAAAATAATTGCATGCTGCTTTCTGCTATTTGGACATACCCTGCTTTTCCCTGTCATAGCAAAAGATATCCCTGGAGCACGTTTCACCCGAAGAAGGGATGTCAACTCACAATCTCTACTGGGTAAGTTACAAAAAAAAAAATCAAAAAACCCAACCACCACTACCAAAGGCCTTCTCAAATACAAATGATAAAAGGCGTGAGCAGCTGGCCAAACCTTGGCTGAGTTAGTTTATAATAAAGAGGAGATTGCTATTTGCAAGCAGGAATATGTGAAAGTTCGTTGACCAGTTAGCAGCTGTTGAAAAAAGGTGTTTACTTTTGGAGTACTAGACCTACTTTATCTAAGTGGTATGAAATAAATATTTGGTACAGCATTGTTGTCTTGGAAAAAAGACCCTATTTTCACTATTTAAAGAATATACATATTGGTCCATGGAAGTTCTGTCAAAGCTGCTTTTTGCCATGCCATCAAGTTTCAGCTGTCTATATGTATGTGCTGTGCATAATGATGATTGAATGGAAATCGGTGGCTATTGAAATAAGGCTTGTCATTACATTACAGAATCACAGAATGTTAGGGATTGGAAGGGACCTCAAAAGATCATCTAGTCCAATCCCCCTGCCGGAGCAGGAACACCTAGATGATATTACACAGGAAGGCGTCCAGGCGGGTTTTGAACGTCTCCAGTGAAGGAGACTCCACAACCTCTCTGGGCAGCCTGTTCCAGTGCTCTGTTACCCTCACTGAGAAGAAGTTTCTTCTCAAATTTAAGTGGAACCTCCTGTGTTCCAGCTTGTGCCCGTTACCCCTTGTCTTATCATTAACATTATTTGATGTTAATCCCTTCATTTTGTCAGGTTAATTTTATTTATAATGAGTAGCTCATTTTTCCTCTTTTGCCAAAAGTCTGAGGACAAGATCTAGCAGTTTTAGCTTGTGGCTGTTTAAAACATAAGGTTCAACTCTTTCTTGTTAATCATTCCCTGTATGTCATCAAACAGTTTGCTGGTCAATTTATTCGTCTGCTAACAAGTTGTGAGTCGGATCATTTTCTTTTGCTCATTGTTTAAAGTAATTGCCAGATTATGAAAACATAACATGTTTGGAGATGGACCATCATTAGGGATTTGTGATACATATCCACAGTAGATCTAATCAGACATATCTCTCCAGTCACTGAGAGATGTTAAGTGGCCTGCCCCCCCATAAAGGTGACCTAACGTAGGTGAACATGAGCAATGTGAAATGTCCTGCAGATGTACTGGGAAAAAAGAAGAAAGCAAGCCAGAACATGGGAGAATGGGGGACAGAGAGGGGAGCATCAAGTTTTATCAGTGAAACTCTTCTCCAAACAAAACGTAAACCTTTAAATATGTAAAATTCCATAAAATGACAATCTGTTCTTTGTTAACTTAAAAACATTTGTTTTCAATTCCTATAGATCAAGTTTAAGCCAAATGACAACACATTTTCCTTTCTTATTCATCTTTCTCAAAACTAATAGATGTGGTCTTGAGACACTTGGGGTTCTGCAATTGAAGGTAAAAACCACAGCTCTGGTGATCTGGTCCATCAAAAAACATGGATGTGGAACAGCAAAGAGAAATAGCCACATTCACACCTTACTCAACAAGGCACTCAACTTTCTAAAATCCTAAAGTGTGTTTAAATTGCAGCCTCTTCTGAATATTTCAGCAAATACCCTAGAGCAAGCTTATTACTTTAAGAAATAAACTACCTGTCTTTCTAGAAAATGAATGCAACAGCAAGGTGTTATGTGGAGAAAGTAAATGGTGTCACGTTTCTCAGCTTGCCTTCTTTCCCTGCGATTTTTAAAATTGTTATTATAGCCTCTTTTTCTTACTTTAAACAGTGGAAACTGTATCAAAAGAATTAATACTTGATATAAATAAAAATGTATAGATTAAATTAGTTGTTCTTTCAAAAGTCAAGAGATTTGTGGTCCCTGCATTTGGAAAATTCTGGATCCTTATTCTGTTTGGTGTATGCAGGATGCAGACAATTCTGGCAGCTCTGGCTGAAAGAACCTTTTCAAGACATTAAATGATGCAAGAAACTTGGGACGTTCTCTGGTCCAGCCTGTAAAAGTACGTGGCAGTTTGGAGTCAGACTCCTGGGCCTTGCGTTCTGTTACAATAAATTAGGTCACCTGCTTCAAATTCAGCAGCGCATATAAACAGTGGCATGGCTAAAACGTGCCTCTCTGTAAAGAACAGAATGTGTGAAATGCGTGCCACTCTGCTGGAAAGCTGTACTGTTCCTTAAATGACATGAGAAAGAGCGGGGCCAAACCATGATCTCAGTGACATGAAGTCTATTGACTTCATAACATCACAGCAATTTAACAGGGATTAGAAGCTGACCCATTCTATATGAAATGTATATTATAAATAGTGGTGGCGATGACAATTGCTGCTGTTATGGAAGGACTTGGTTGGCAGGCAAAAGTGAGCAATGCAGCTGCAGAGAACCAAGAGATAGATACCTGGAAAAGTAATAAAAGTTCAGGTTGGATTTTTGTTTAGCTGAAGGTCTTTATGTTTTTAGGACTGAAATGAAGGATTATGCTATGTAAATATTAGTAGTGTTAAAAGAATTTTATTACTTTTTTCTTCCTTTTACTAATTTGTAAAATGAAAGTGTACTGCTGTGCTAGCTCCTTACTGGGAAAATACCAGTAGTGTCCATGCACAGAAGGAGAAATCCTTGCTCCAGGAAACTGGCAATGTAAACAAGCAAAATGGAATGGAGGAAAAATCTTGTGGGATTGTTTGCATAGAGATAAAAGTACTTTGGGATCCAGCTTTAGGAGGATTTAATTTTTTACCAGCCATGCTCTAATACTTCATAGATTTCTTAATTGCCTTGTCAGCGCAATAGCCTATACCTTTTAACAAAGGTTTCGGAAGGAATGAGCTATGTCTTTTCTATGTTGTTCTTATCTCCAGTCTTTCTGCCAAACCTCAATGTGTGATGTTCTAATTTGGCAAATCTTTGCATCACTTATTGTTGTTTAAAATTATTATTGCTATAGCTAATAATTTCCATTAAAGATCTGCAATCTTTTGTGCAAGAATCAATGGGACATAAAGTTTTTGGAACTCCCTCTATGTGGCCCTTGAAAACCAAACTGCTTTGCAGGTTTTTCTTTCTTTAAACACCGAATCAAGCTTCACATAATTTAAAACTTGACAACTGTGCCAGTTTAATTAAATTTATTAACATTTTCTTAAATCTTTCTTGGAGCATATTCATTGTAGAACATGTGTATTTGTTTTAGAGACAGAAAATATACAGGTATTTCTTGTAATAACAGAATTTGTGTTAGATTGCTGGAAAATATTGTTTTAATGTAGGTGTATTTATGTTTTAAAGGATCATTTCCATAGTCCTGCAAGATATTGTGAAAAAAACAGAAAGAAATAGGGTGGTCCATTTTTCTTTCTTGTAGCAGAGTGTAGTTGTTTCTGCCCTTACCCGACATATGAAATAAATTTTGCCCTCTCTTTCTCTCATCAGTAATTTGATCCTGAATATTGGATCTTTGGCCTTATACTAATTCCTTAAAGGAAATTAATCTTTTGTTTTAGAATCTTCTCTTTTAAAGGCCTTAACAAAGCTCTGAAGAGTTTTTACTTAGCTCTCTGACAAAATCATCGATCCTGCTGAGCGCAGCTGCTCCATTAGATTACACACAGATCCCTGAAAGCACAGTTTGCCAGCTTATCATTGCTTTTGGGATCCTTGAGAAAAACAGTAATGGAATTATATTTCCTACATGGTTTTAAAGATAAAATTATGTCTGCTACATTAGCTAATTCCCTTTGGATATGACTGAAAGGGACTTTGTGCCTAAACAGACTGATGAAGAGCTGTGGTGGTTTCCATACTGTGATTTCAGGGCCATGGCCAGAGGTCCACAGCACCTTTCAGCAGTTTCCATGTTCAGAAGTGACCCGTACCCCGTCCTTGTAAGACACAGCTTTTTTGGTGTTTGATGTGGGGTTTTTTTGTGGAGCGGATTTGGAACTTATGTCCTACTGCCTTTTAATCACTTATTATAAAACAAAGCAGAGCAAAATTTCAACACTGGAAAAAACACAAAGGTTGGGGTTTTTTGTTGTTTGTTTTTGTTGTGTTTTTTTTTTTCTTCTCAGTGAACTCTGGCCTTGTAAAGTAGGCACATGTTTCATGTCACATAGGCATATTTCTTTGGAGAGCTCTGAAGTGGATGCATAGGAATAATTGAATGAGCTGTAGAATAATATTCTGAGCAGTAACATTACTTCTGTTCCGCAGGAACATAAATCATGCACCTACCTGGTTTTGAAAATAACTATTTATGTGAGGAGAAAAGCTAATTTAGTGGGCATTTCTTTAGATACTACATGATACCAGAAGAAAGAAACTACAAGAGGTTAACTGATACTGCGCAAAATTGAAACGAAGAGGGGAAAGGAGGCCAAGAAGGAAATGTACTTGGCTCCTGTTCAGTAGAAACTGCTGCTAAATGCAAACATCCCTGTCTGTGTTAAATTATATTTTGCAACAAAATATGTAGTGATTTATCTCTTGATTGTATAGATATGATTCCACTGATAATATGAAGGGACATAATATGAAGTGCATAGAGCGCTCACTAAATTTATGAATCACTCGCCAGAGTCAGTTAAAATTATTCCAAGCATTCTTATATCCCACTCAGTTCTTAAACTTGTGCATATGTGGGGCTCAAGAACATTATCAGATTAACAATTCTTGGTTAAATTTTAGCCACAAATCAGAGGGGAAAATATGTGACAAAAGTGAGTCTGGTCCGTGATGCTTCTGTGGAATGCAAATAAGATTTCTGTTTAGTTTTAGTTGAATTCATTGTACATTTATACACTACAAGCTGGCCAGAGATCTCTAAATATTGCTAATGTGGACTGCTGAAACACCATGGGACAATAACTGCTGTAAGAAACTCATTCACGGCCTCAGCATATATGTATGTGTGTATGTTATTTCTTCACATAAATACAACTCTGCCAAATTTTTTTCGTTCTCAAACATGTTAAGCAGACTCACTGAAACGGAAGTGTGCATTTGCAAGTGA